ACTCCGATGGCTGTGAGGTCCTGAAGAACAAAAAACATGGACGCAGCCGCTTAATCAACACCTCGAAACATCACAAACAACTCTCATTATACAAATGTAGGATATATGACAATCTTACTTTATTCTTATTTCATTACAAAGACAAGTCAGCACTCAGTGATCAATGGTTATTTTCAGAATGTTGTTTCAAGCCGCAATAGTAACACCCCTGTGACCTTCAATCTGAATGTCCCGAAGGTGGAATGGGGGGACGTAGTGATCCCTCCTCTGTTCCGTCTTCAGAGAGAGTAACAGAGATGTTTCAGGGGCAAGGCGGTTTCAGCCAATGGGGGAGTGCAGCGTATTTGTTTAGTCTAGAGACCTTGGACAGTTTATTAATCCCGCGAGGGGGAACTCTGTCTAAGGAACATGCACACACACATAGGCCGAAATACACACACATGCACAAACAGGATCCTGTGGACATGTATTAATGGAGAGGTCTCAGAGTGAGGCGGCTGCCCACAGCGAGCGCTCCAGAGCAGTTCAAGGGCACTTCGGAAGTGGACGGGCAGCGGAGCAAAGCTGTAGGATATCTGTGAGTATCAGGTTTTGTTTTTGTCTTTGCTGCTCGATGTGGCTGTTGGTAATTTCATGACGGCCTTGTATGGAGGGACAGAGATAGCAGGCTGGAGAGCTGATGTCATGCTTCTAAATTGCTCCTTTATTTATGCATTTTAATGTTCTGGGCGCTGTAACTTTCAGAGCTCACTTTGTTCATCAAACTGTACGATTATACAACTTTTGCCCATGTACTGTGCATTTGCACTTTTGAAGTTGTATGTATGGTCTGTGCTGTATTTAGTACATGTGACTCTCCTTGCAACCACATTTACCTACAAGTGCAAAACCTGAACCTGTAAGACACACCTCAGGGGTCATCCTGCTGATGGTGGGAACATCGTATCCTGAGTTGATGAAGTTGGACGTGTACTGCTCCAGCTGGAACTCACACAGCCACTGATAGATGGCCTCAGCGTCCTAAAGAAAACAAAAATAAATCGGGGAATATTTATGAGTCTTTTTCTGTCTCAGACAAATCAAAGAGCTGTGATCTCCTGAACTCACCTTGCCCTCCAGGAGGTGCTCCGGCCTCACAAAGCCTTTCTGAGGAGTGCCGTTTACCTGCCGACGGGAACCACCTGCAAAACACACACAATCAATCACAGCGTTTGACTCTACACTCTACAGGGACAAGTGTAAAAGTCCATGACCTTGGCCGTGTAGAACTTGGTAAGTGAAGTCATGTTAAGCTTCTTTGTGCAGCTGTCTCTTTAAGTAGGGGGGGGTTGTTGTTGGGTCTGTTCAGGTGAGCGGAGGTGCGTTATCTATCTGATCAGTGAAAACTCACTGAACACAGTCCTGACACATCTCGCTCTCTCAGTCCAGACTCATCACCACAGATCACTGAGGAATGCACCTTTCCTTCAGTTCTCACATCATTGCCTGTTTTGCCCTCGGGCGAGCGGTTTGATCGTGTCCTCCTGATGGAATCCATCTACCTTTTAATTACCAACATTTACAAAGTACTTAATATATAAAGTGTCTGAACACTCAGATGAATTTTTCAAAGCTGCTGCTGTTTTTGCCATGGACCAGAGAAGGTAGGTCATTTTAAGGCAGCCCCACACGGCCGTTTTGGACGCCCCTCGGTTTGCCAGATACGAGACCAGTTATCAGGTCAAACCAACAGGTGTTACAGTGATGGAAGCGGGCAAGAGAAGTGGTTCAGATAGAAGTGATTGTTCCCGACCTAAAAAGCCTCTGCATGTTTCTAATAAGCTCCACGAGCAGAAACGTGCTCAAACTAGGATCAATATTGGAGATGCTTTTGAAAAATGGAGAGAGGTTAGAACACAGAAAGGTTTACAGACCGATGCAGAGCTGGATAAACACTGAAGCGTCAGAGTCCACCACATGGTAACCTGCGTGAGCATGGACTCTAGAGAGGAGGAGGCGGGGGGGAGAGCTACAATGTTTTGAATTTTGACTGCAGTACTCATTTTTTCAGAGTTACATATTGCTCCTTTAAAGTATTAAGTTGGTTGATAAAAAAATTCAGATGCCCAGAAAGCAAACAACTTCCAGCTTCCAGATTCGAACTAGTTTATCTTTCAGTTTTTTTCCATTTCTCTGTGTTTTGTTTTTGAGGCTCTGCTCTCTCCTGAGAGAGATAAACACACCTAGGAAAGAGGTATTTGACCTCAGGGCAGGAGACTAAACCTAATCAGCGTTTTGGTCGAGTGTTTTACGCTCCAGCAAACAACTGACTCATATTTTGTCAAAACAAGTTGAGACAACCCGAACACGTACACTTCTTTGCACCTGTAAAACATTATGGAAGAAAATCTGCACACACAAAAAAGGACTGTAAATCTTTGTCCTTGCAAATCTGAACATCAGAACAAATCCTTCAGGGACTTTTGTCAGGTTCCTCTCTAAAGTTAACAGACACATTTCATTTCAGAATCTAGAAACTCAAATGATGATCAATCCCCTGCAGTCAGAACATCAAACATCCCGTCATGATTTCTTACCATTCAGGAGGAAGGAGACGGACAGAGTTCCTGATGTTTGACACTTCATCCTCTCTCACTCTTATCGTTTCTACAACTTCAGTCAGATACTCTCTCTCTCTTTCTCTCCCTGTCTCATGTGTTTTTCTCTTTCTGCTCCTGTCTCCTCCCTCTGACTCCTCCCTCTCACTCTCCCTCCCCCCTCCTCATTTCTCTTCTCCTTCACTCCGACACTCAAATAGAGATCCTCCGACTCATCCAGCGCGTCACTCCTCAACATTTCAAAAGATCTGAGCTGAAAAAAGCTTCAGACAAAAGTAAAGCTTCAGACAAAAGTAAAGCTGCAACGTGTGTGTGTGTGCGTGATTCTGTGCACCTGCTGTTCAGATCAAACATTGTGCACACACAAACACACAAACACACACACACACAAGAACACAACCACACAGACACACACAGTTTAGTGTTGTTGTCTCAGGGAGGTAATCGGCTGCTTTTATTGGTTGTGTGTTTGAGAGAAGCTATTTTTTTGGTGGTTTTATTGGTTTCTGTGGGAGGTAAGGTAAGCTTTTTGGCTCTGCTCTCAGCTCATTTCCGTTCAGACTGAACTCAACAACATCACAACCTGCAGAACAAACACACGGCTTCATACTGCATCTGTCTTTAACAGCATTCTTCAGGTGTGAGTAAGCTCAAGTAGGAGTGTTTAAAATGTAACAATATCAGTATATTTTCTTATATTTATGTAGAATTATATCATTAAACATATTCTAGAGATGCACTGAGTATCAGTGTTCACAGATACTTGACCATCAGCAAATCATTGTAACCCACCGATTGCAGCAGCTGATTCATATTAGCGGCATCGTATCAGTTTAAAGCAGGGATGTCAGGCATACGGCCCGACAGCAGGTTTCATACGGCCCGCGACACGTTTTGGGAAGAAGGAGGAAATGTATTGAAAAATATTTTTATAAATTAAATATTTGTAATACGTATTTTCCCCGAATTGTATTAAAACCTATGTAAAATGAGCAACGTAAAGGTTGATATCATGATACAAATATGAATTAAAGGGGGCACTTTGAACTATTTTCTCAGCAGGGAGTATTATAAAAAAGATGAGCTGCTCCTGCATTACGCTGGTAATACATCACATCAGAAAACAGCCTGAATACCTGAGAGAGGTGACACAGAATGCAGGTTTTCAAGAGAGATCGAAGGAGCGATATTTCTTTAGTTTTATTTGCTCACAAGTTGCCAGAATTTTATCAAAGCTACGGGACTAAATGACAGGCACACCGCTGCACTGCGTGCGCATCATGACAGTCTTCAGTTCTGTGCACACTTCTTACCAGTTTCTCCTGTCTTGACTGATGTAAAACAAAAGTTTTAGTGATGATAACAAAGCTTCCTATGGAGTAAGCCACAAAGAGCAGCTCGTGCAAATAAAAAACAATCATCTCCGCCATGCGTAACGGCCCAGACCGTCTCCTCACATCCAGACGTTGAGCCTGATGCATCTCCCGACTAGTTTTACCTCTTATTGTAAAAACACCAGCTTTCATCAGACTGTAAAAATATAACTATTACTGAACATTTCATTCTTATCCAAAAATGATATCACAGGCTGTCCAATCATACAGAGGTCTGCTGGTTTAACCGAGGAGCAGCGCTAAAATGCTTTCTCGAATTGCGCACGGAGATGGCTCTCTCTCTCTCTCTCTCTCTCTCTCTCTCTCTCTCTCTCTCTCTCTCTCTCTCTCTCTCTCTCTCTCTCTCTCTCTCTCTCTCTCTCCTCTCTCTCTCTCTCTCTCTCTCTCTCTCTCTCTCTCTCTCTCTCTCTCTCTCTCTCTCTCTCTCTCTCTCTCTCTCTCTCCCCCTCTCTCCCCCCAGGGCAGGTAGAATAACCTGAGTCAAAGTTTCTATAACCTTGAACACCAATATTTAAATATAATATAATAATCTCAAACAAAACATAATTATTGATATTTTCTTCTGTAATGTGGTACATTTAAATATTTCCATGTGCCAACATGCAGTTGCAATGACAGAGTTAACCCCTCTGCTTAATGTTAATGTTAAAGTTTCTATACAATCATACATTAGCCTATATATCCATGTGTTGAGTTATAGTGATGTTGGCAAAATTAGTCCGGCCCACTTGAGGTCTCATTTGAACAAATACGGCGCCGACCCAATAGAACTCTGACATCCCTGGTTTAAAGGAAGACTGTGCGACATGTTACTCATAAATATATCAGTTGGAGGTGAATCACTGGAGGAGAGCGGAGGCTTCAGTGTGGAGGAGGAGTGGCCAATCGGCAGTTTGTTTTGGTGTCATGCTGGTGCTCAAGGGGCGACATCTACTGGATGCTCATGAATCGCACATTTTTCCTTTGAAACAACAACATGATGCTATTGTTGTGTTTCAGATTGTATTTGACCTCAGCTGGGTCCTTCTGGTCTGTTTTTGATGGAGCTGCTGTCAGCAGATTCTCACTATGTCAGCTAATATTATTGTGTTTTTGTACGGTATGTATTTTGTGGCTTTTATAACCAGTGATGAATATCAGTTTATACGGAGATTTAGAAAATTTAGAAATGTAATCACTTCTGCCGGCCTCCTCTATGTTGGAAATGAAGCACAAGGACGACCACAAGTGAAAAGACTTAGCATCTTCTCATCATGAATCACAGCAGGGAACGAAACGTGGTCAGAGCAGGATTACGGCCAAGACTTCATGACTCTTCGGAAACTGTATGAAAGAGAGAGGCGGGATTGTCAGGTGGTCTGTGTGAGGATGAGACGGCTCTGAGCTGGGCGGCTTTATCTGAAGAGGTGGAGAAGTTAAAAACCACCGTCACCACCTTCAAAGATTCTCTGCCCCTGTGAAAGTGCAGCTCACAGCGGACTCTCTTCTAAGCTCCTCAGTGGATAAAGCAAACAGTGCTGATTCAGAGTCAGGCATCTGTGTGAGACGGTGAAGAAATGTGCACATGAAACACGAGATGATGTGTTTCTGAAATGAAATCAGTGATCACAACTTCTGCACTTTATCTGTGAATCATTTTGCACATTTGAATTGTTGTTGCTCTTCGCTTGTTGTCAATTGTTTTAACTTCTCTGTTTTAATCTGTTATTGACACTTGAAAAGAAAAAAATCCTGCACACGACTCCTGCTAAGCATCACCAATTTATTAGAAAAAAAATCACAACACACTCGACAAAGGTTCAGAGGAACAAAACGTTGTGATTCTTTCTGAGAAACTGGTGATGCTTAGCTGGAGTAGTGTGCAGGATTTTTTCTTTTCACATGACATGATGTATTACTTCATGAGATAGCTGGAAGTGCATACACTTTTTTCAATGTGTAAAAAGTTGCAGGAACACATCTGCACGCTGTCTTAACTGCACAAAAACATTGGCAACATATCAGCAACATAATGTAATTGTGCAATTAAGCCACTGAGCGGGAGATTGTCTGCAATATTTTGATGGTTTTATTTCTCTCCCTCTGCACCTGTCTGATAAAATCGATGTCAATTATTTAAGCTTTCATACTTTTGTGCGAACACCTCCTTAAAAAAAATCTTTAACTGACACAAAGCCCCTCTAGGAACGGGTGATGCAACCTTATTTATCTCGTATTTGCATGTCCTAGTTGGTGCGGTTGCAGATCTTTGCTGTTTTGTTGTTGCACTCCGCTGTATATTTGTCCTTTTGCAATACTGCCCAAAGACCTTTAATAAGTAAATCTAATGTGATCTATAAGAAGGACACAAAGTGCTGCCTGACTCACCTGTGCTTCCATCTGCCTGTTTGCTTTGCTCCGTTCCCAAAGTGTGGAGATGTTCTCCTAAATCACCAGCAGAGGGTGCCATCTGCAAACAGACACGTGAAGGAACATACAATGAGATAAACTACTGAATCTCTGAATTTGCTGAGGCACCTTGCAGGAAATACAATGTGGTCAGAGAATCCAGAGAATTTCTCTTGGAATAAGTTCATCACGTAAAAAGCATGATCGTAGAAGAGACATCCTCCATGTCTTGTGCCGTTAAAGTCATTAAAGGAAGGAACCTTGTAATTATAAATAGTGTTGGAAGACTTGGTACGTATACAAGACTCCTGAGCAGATCTAACCTTGCCGTTTTCAGCATTATGCCGATTTTGAGTCCCGTTCTGTTTGTGTCCGCTCTCCGAGCTCTGACCGCTGCCGGCGCTGCGGCTGCTGCCCACACTGCCCGAGCTGCCAACACTGTTTCTGTCACCTGAGAGAGAAACAAAAAAAGACAAACAGAAGAAGAACAGACAGAGAGAGATCACAATGTGGACTTATAGCTGAAGAGAATTTCAAGAGAGAAAAGCTTTTTAGAGCGTAAACTGGAGGTGGATAACGTCAACAAGAGGCTCCTGTACTAATTCATGCACTCTGACCTTTCAATGAGTACCTTATTTAACCAATCAGGACCTTCCATTCACTGCTCCAAGCTTGAGTAGGATCAGTACTTTCTTTCTCTACGCTAAATAGTCGAGAAATGGATGCACGTCGTATTACAGTTTTAAAACGATATACCGATAAGTTTTATTTCTGAGAGCAGATCTGTGACGTCAAAGTATCTGAAGTTCATACTTTTTTGGGGGGCTTTTGTGCCTTTAATCGAGAGATAGGACAGTGGATAGAGTCAGAAACCTGGAAGATAAAGGAGGAGCAACATGCGGGAAGGAGGCGGGATATGAACCCGGGCCGCCCGCTTGAGACGACAGTCTCAATACATGGGGTGCACGCCCTATTTATTGCGCCACCAGCGCGCCCCTGAAGTTCATACTTAATAAACGTTTAGTGTCCTTACTCTTCTAAATACTCGACAGAAGACGCTTTTTGATGATGATAAATGATAAAGTGACCTTACTCTATGATCAGACATTAAGGAAACATGCTATGCTGAAGTGCTGGCTTCTCTGACAACAATGCAGCAGCCAGTATGTCCTCCTTCTAACTTTAGATTCTGGTCCTGAATGCTCTGGATTTGTTTGGACCAGAGAAGGTAGGCAGTTTTAAGACACCCCCACACGGCCGTTTTGGACGCCCCTCGGTTTGCCAGATATGAGACCAGTTATCAGGTCAAACCAACAGGTGTTGCAGTGTTTGAAGCGGGCAAGAGAACTGGTTCAGATAGAAGTGATTGTACCCGACCTAAAAAGCCTCTGCATGTTTCTAATAAGCTCCACGAGCAGAAACATGCTCAAACTAGGATCAATATTGGAGATGCTTTTGAAAAGAGAGAGAGGTTAGAACGCAGAAAGGTTTACAGACCGATGCAGAGCTGGATAAACACTGAAGTTTCAGTGTCCACCACATGGCAACCTGTGTGAGCATCGACTCTAGAGAGGAAGGGGCAGGAGGAGACAGCTCTCTACAATGTTTAGAATTTGGACTGCAGTACCCATTTTAAACACTAGGGGTCAGAGTTACATATTGCTCCTTTAAATGCATTTGCGCTAACACACCAGAAGAAAGGACTTGTTAAGATCATTTTCGATCATGTTCTTATTTGCGGTGCAGACATTCAGGACGGAGACAGCTGCACTGGAAAGCTGCAGAAAAAAGCCCTGAGACAGAAGTGAGGAGGAGAAACAGAGGAGTCAAAGAAAAGTCTGTAAAGCAGAGCTGCTCACTCACCACGTTGTCCTGCTGTGAGTAAACTCTGGTTATGGATTATTGGGGTCAGAGCGGGGCAGGTTGGGGGTGGGGTTGGATTTGCAGGGTGGCATGGTGAGGTCAAGACGTTGGGATATAAAGGGATAAAGATGGGAATAAGCTTCCTGAAAGACGCAGTGTTTATCAGAGCTGCTGGGGTTGGATCTAGTCTAAAGGCTCACACTGGGTGGGGTGGGGTAGCAGGGTTTTTTTTGGGACCACACACCCTTACCGCTGGGCGAGCTCCTGAGGACCCAAACGTCCTGAGTGGGGCTAGCAGGACTAGCTGGGGCTGGGAGCTGACTGTCGAAAGAAGCACCTAACAAACACACACACACACACACTTCACTGTTTACTCCTACCAACGCTGAGCACAGGAGGCGTGATCGAGAGGAGGCCTGGATCACAGGGGCAGATCGGGAGGGAAATGTGAAACCAGGGAACATCAACGGATTATAAAACAATGGGACTCAGGTCCTGCTAAATATCAGCAACAACTCTAAAACAGAAAAACCCTCTTTGTGGTGTTTTAAATGTCGCTTTTTGGGGTCATTTTGCATCACGTCTTGATTCATTTGCACATGTTTTCATACATTTTTAGATGAGTTATAGTCTTTGTGTGTCTCCTTGTCAGTTTTATGGTATTACATTTATAGACAGTAAATAAACATGAACTGTACTGTGCCGAAGCACACCTCTTGAAAGTGTGCCAGGACCAAGGAAGAGTACCGAGCACTCACACTAGTCAAACGAACTGGACTTTGTACCGGTTGCCTAGTGTGAGTGCGCCCTTAATATCAATGGGCCCAATAAGATTGAATTTGTTGTTTCACTTTCCTTTGGGGTTGTTTTTTTGTTGGTTTTGAAGTTTTGTACCGTCTCTTGTCGTTTTGTGTCTTTTATGTTTCAAACAGAGACTCTTTGCCCCTCATGTGCCCCTCCGCCTGAGCCTGGTGTACCTGTTCAATAATCCATTGTCGCCTGGGTAACGATGAACGGATCACAGGTGGTGAACAGAAAACAAACAGATGGACAGAACCTGCTGTGTGTGTGTGTGTGTGTGTGTGTGTGTGTGTGTGTGTGTGTGCTTTTCTACCTGTGGGATCATAGCCAAGTGAGTCTTCGGACTGAGGGGCGGGACTGTTGCTTGAGGAAGGAGCTCTGGATGCAAAGTGCTGTCGCTGGCGAGGTTTTGAAGCTTGGCGGGTGAGAGTGCCCCCTAGTGTCAGGGAGAGAGGAATGAGGTGAGGCTGGCATGCACGAGTGAGGGAGAGAAGTTCATGTTCATGCATGTGTGCTGGATAGTTTGAGCTGCATGCACAGGAGTGAGCTTCAAGACTGCAGTAAAATCAACTTTTTGAAGTCGCGTGAGCACATTATGGACTTACGATGTTTTGTTGTTTATTAACAATCTGCTAAAAAAGAACAAATTCAGTGTAAATCCTCCCTGTGTTACATAAGAGGCTGCTGAATGGGAATGTGAGATCACCAGCGACGCTAGAAGGGCTTACTTTCCCTTTGTGTGTTGTTGGTCCTCAGCTGCTGACACCATTGACATTATCGCACAGCTCAGGCACACACATACAAGCACACACACACACACACACACACACACACACACACACACGCGCACACACACGCACACACACACACACGCACACGCACACGCACACACAAGCACAAACACACACTTACACAAACAAATGCACACACTCACAGCTGAGTTTGCCTCATAAGCAAAGAGCCTGTCAACGACTTAAAGTCAAACTCTCTTTCTGTTGTATCTTCTCCCTCAAGCATGAGCAGACACACACACACACACTCTCACACACACACACACACACACACACAATTTCCCGACGCAGACTGTGAGGGCTTTAGCACTGAGCTGACACTTTGCAATCTGGCCGTAGTAATCCTATTAATGTGTGTCTGTGTGTGTGAGTATCTGCGTTTGTGTGTGTGTTGCCTGGCTTCTTGAAGACCCAGAAATGATTTAGCCTGCGTGTGTGTGTTTGCGTTTGTGCATCCCTGTCCGTTGCTGTTACTGGAGCCCTCACTGTGCGAGCCCGTCTCGCTGTTTGAATGTCAGTGGCTTTACGGCTGCAGAACAAGCGTTGAGATCATTTTCCTTTTATTCTCAGGGATTAAATATGATGATTTAGCGAAGCGTCCAGTGATCGTGCATGCCAACATGACAGATCCTGTCTGTGCACGAGGGTCGACTTGAATTCTTAGCCCAGTTATAACCTCTGGGTTCAGTTAGCTCTTTACCACCGCTCTGTCAGCTCAGAGTGGAGGTTTTCATCTGGCCCTGGGACAGAGTTACAACAGTCACGCTTTTGGAGAGGAAACATTTAGTCTCGCTCTGCTCTCAGAGGTCTGATTTACTGTAAGAAGAATTTCATTTTTAATGTATTCCTTCTCTGTTTATGGAGTATGAGGTGACCACTATATAAACTAGGGATGCACTGATGTTAAAGAGATCTATTAAACTCACTTTGACCATTTATTATGTCAGTCTGGGACACATTTTGAGTAGCGTTACGAGATGTGTAGCTCAAAAACCTCCTTCTTTATCTGATATTGGCATCTGTAAAATCCCTTGTTTTAGTCTCCGCCCTAAACGCCTCATTAAAGCTGCTGTCTCTTTAAGGCCCCCCCGCTGGCCCACTCTCCTCCGATTGGCTAGCTCAAATCGGACCCAATACAGATAAGATCGGATCAGTCCTGTCTCTTAATAACATTAAACAAGTCTTAATAAACAAAAGTAACAAGAAGAGGGAAAAACTAAATACCAAAGCACCTTAAATTTACATGACTACTTTCACCATTGTGTGTTGTTTGTTTGTTTACCTGTTCGTCTGCTGAGGACCTCCACCACTGAGGGGGGGAAGAAGCCCACTCGATCGGTCCCCCGCTGGCTGTCATGGATGTGACCCTTCCAGCGGCCGTCTGAGTGCTGCTCCAGGACCTGGCGGCGACAAATCATCAGCATGCTTAAATTTTCTGTAAACCTCACGACAGTTCACAATCACAGACAGAGGAACATGAACAAATCACCGACTAGTTATTTATGTAAAGTCTGAGGTTTGATTAACGTTAAGAGCAAGTTGAACAGGTTCTCTGTTGTCAGCGTTGCATCACCTCTAAACATGTAGTCGTGTTTGTGAGTCCTCCAGAAATGCTTTAAGACTTTAATGAGAGCTAGAAATACACAACTTATTCATCGTGAGTGTTTACAAAATGCCCAAAGAGGATGTAAACAAACACCACACAACAACATACGAGTTCATACAGGAGTCTGAGACGTCACAGAGACTCGTACAAAGATATCAAAATACACACAGTGAGCACAACAACAAGCCAAGATGTCCGCACATGAAAACAAAGTCTGTAATGAGAGAGTGACGGCAGCATGTTTGAGCCTGTTCCTCTGCTGTGGTCTCCTGTAGAGGGTACACCAAATTACACTGCAACATCACAAACAAATCCCAACAACAAGATTCACTCAGGAAGGTCTCCATCGTATAATCATCACTGAAATACTCTGCCTGTGATTTAAAGTATAAGAGTGGAATATTTGTAGTTTTTGCTTCCCTGTGGTCTCAAGAAAATACGCTGTTAGAAACCTGAGCCAGTTTCTACCTTCATCCAACAAAGTGAAGTTTTTTTACCAAACATTCATTTTTTTAACCAGTATAATTTAAAGGAGCAATATGTAACTCTGACACCTAGTGTTTAAAATGGGTACTGCAGTCCAAATTCAAAACCTCAGTGAAAGCTGTCTCCCCCCGCCCCCTCCTCTCTAGAGTCGATGCTCACGCAGGTTTCCATGTGGTGGACACTGAAGCTTCAGTGTTTATCCAGCTCTGCATCGGTCTGTAAACCTTTCTGTGTTCTAACCTCTCTCCATTTTTCAAAAGCATCTCCCATATTGATCCTAGTTTGAGCACGTTTCTGCTCGTGGAGCTTATTAGAAACATGCAGAGGCTTTTTAGGTCGGGTACAATCACTTCTATCTGAACCAGTTCTCTTGCCCGCTTACAATCGCTGCAACACTTGTTGGTTTGACCTGATAACTGGTCTCATATCTGGCAAACCAAGGAGCGTCCAAAATGGACGTGTGGGGGGTGGAGGCATTTTGGATGCCATCCCAGCACACCCGCTCTGAAACGAGGGGGAGGCGGCGCACTTTGGTCAGTGGCCGCCTGCTCCTGCTCTCGTCTGGCATCAGGACAAGACGTTCTTAATAAACTGTTAAACTTGTCAGTCACAGTTAGCCCCACCCTGAATCCCTTTTATGTTCTATTTGACCCTTCATAAATTATAATGGTTCAGTTTCCTAGTTGAGCTTCAAGACAAAAAAAGGATGAAATACGAGGAGTCTGCAGAGATACAACAACTTGAGTAAAAACCAGAGTTCTGCTGAGTCAACCTGCTGTGACTTTCTGTAGTTGACAGAAACACGTACCATAACAAGTTCTCCAGCCCTGAGGTTAAGAGCAGTCGGGTCGTGGAGGTTCCAGTAATCCTTCACCGCTCTGACCTGCAGAGAACAGGATGCTTCTGGAAAAAAAAAAAAGGCATATCATCAAGCTCAAACAGCAGACAAATGCTCCAGTGAATTCTCTCTACATCATTTAGTAACCTCGTCCCCACACTTTCCTCCGTCTCATCTAAAAAAAACAACACATGGAATAAAAACATCAAGAAGTTCCTGACCTCTGAGCAGCTGTTTGATTTCCCTGCTGGCGCTGGAGGTGGTGAACTGGTTGACGATGTCCAGAGCTGTCTGGTTGTAAGTGTTGCGTATGTTCACATTGATGCCCGCCTAGACGCACACACACGCACACACATTTTTTATTACTGGGTCGGTGAGGTGCACTTTTAAAACAAACCATCCCTCAAATGCCTTCCTCCCTTATTAAAGAAAAACACTTGAACTGCAGTGTGAAGTCTGGAAAGTGTACATGTAAGATCGTTTAAGAATAAGGAGTCAAGTTATTTTAGATTTTGGTTTAAACAGGATCATGCTAAAGATGACCTCACCCCGACACAGTGGTCTGTTTACACGGTTTATGTGTCAGATAGTTTCAGTTATTTCATAACCAACAGAGGTGAATGTTCATAATGTTGGATGAAACTCCAAGACCGTAAAGATTATAAATCCAGATTCCACTATTTTAATTGAACAAAATCACCTAATTTCTAGTTTAGTTAAAGGCAGAGTCAGCTGTTTTTCCTACAAAATAAAACACAGATTTCTCTTAAAGTAAAGCTGCTCCATCGTCCCTTCTGGGCCTCCGTACATGTGTGGTGGTGACAGCGTCTGCAGAGGCCATGTCCTCTGCGGTTTATTTTAATTGACTCAGGACGTTTCTGGGTGGAGCTGGTGTGTTACCTCCAGCCAATGACAGCTCAGCAGGTGAGTTTAATAGTGGATATGATTCATAGATTGGACAACATTCAAACTTGCGAATATGACGGACGTGGAGTTAGCGGCAAAGAGGAGAAAATTATAGTGAGGTGAAACACCAAGCGGATAAAAATTGTTCTAAAACGAGGGTGAACCCTGTGTTGTCTTTTACCCGTGGATGTGGAGTTGGTCTGCTTCCTGTTGGACAGGCAGGTGACAAACACCAGCGGTTAGCTAGTGTGCGTTAGCTTGCAGTGTAGCTACAAGCAGTAAACGTACACACTACATCCAGAAGTGAGGGTGAGCATCAG